ACGTTAGTAAAATTTTAATTAAGTTATTCTAATTTACCTGCGGAAATTAATATCGAAGATTGCAATTAATTTCTGCATTTCAGGAAAGTCCGTCGGTGTCAAGCGAAGGCCACAAAAGTACACGCCCAGTACACCACAAACGCCGCCAGAAGTAAAGGTATCGCAGCGAGGACAGGCAGTGAAAGATGGATTCGTCAATCGTAGACGGCCCAACAAGTATGCAGCCGCAGACACTTACGACAGGTTAAACGGCAATCAGCCGGCAAAAACGCCAAGCCGCAGCAGCCAAAGACAGGTGGTCGACTACGACTACTATGACGATGAGAACGAGCGCGTCGTGGGAAATACGAAAGGGCAACAGGTGAGTGACCGCGACATCTAGATATTTATGTATGTATATCATATGAAGGCAAAACGAATACTTCACTTGATTTCAGTTAAAGGTGATTTTACATGGACGTGGCATAATCGAGTGTCTGGATCAAGGTAATTTCCCGCATCCACTCTCTTGTCGGAAATTCATTTCCTGTGCCAAGTTCGAGACTGGCGGTGTTGTCGGTTGGGAGTACACTTGTCCGAAGGGGCTGAGCTACGATCCAGTGGGTGGTATGTGCAGCTGGGCGGCTGGTCTCGGTTGTAAGGAGTAGTTAGTAGGCGGCTAAGTAATATTAAAATCAACATGTATATGTATGTACACATACATATGTATGTGAATGTTATTTTATATACATATGAACACCAGAAAAAATGCAAATATGCAACCGGCGATTAAATGCAATACAAATACTCATTCAAAAATATCTTAATTGGAGAGTGGCTTTCCTGACAAAACTCGTCCTCATTTCATTTACCAAAACTGTTTTTCTATGAATTTGTGAAGATATTTTTATAGTTTTAATACATTTTTGTGATTATTGTTTCGTTTTCCTTAGTAGTTTAAGAATAACTTTAAGCTTAAGATAAAATTGTTTGTACGTATTTAGTTAAATGTTGACAATTTATTGTAAACAAATTATTAAGTAGAATTTTGTTTTTGATTTTATTTTAACTCACAACGAATATTCTCACTTCTCTTTGATTTTATTCTAACTATACATACATATATATAAATTAAATAATTTATAATCAATAAATTGTAAAATAAAATACTTTTGATAAAACATTAAAAACGTTTTGTATGGAAAAGTACAAACACGTATACAGAATATATAAATATGTATGCCTACGTATGTATGTATGTATGGCTGGTTTCCAAAACGTATCAATACAATGTTTGGAAACTGTTATACTGCGGTATTCAAACTGTTTGTATATGCAAATTTGCGACACAGTGCAACCATATACATTGCATATTTTAAATACTCAATATACCAATGAACAATTTTTATGAATTTTCCATTTTTAAAACACCAATGGTAACCAATAACAAACGAAGCATCAACTTTGTTTCTGATGCGCTGATTGCGCTAGCGATGCGTTTCGATAAATTTTGGGATGCGTTTTGGAAAAGTATACATCGTCAACATTTTGTAGTTCTGCGTTATTGAACGTTATACTTTGTACGTATGCAAAGCAATTGACGTTTTGGAAGTCAGCCTATTTTAGGCTTAACACAATGAAAAGGCTTTGTTCGTCCCTACGCGTGCCTGTGGCTTATGTGTAAACGCAACAAAATAGACTTTCTTCTTTTTACTATACATAAAATCATAACTTTTCAACCTTTTTCGATGGTCGGTTTTCCGCTAAAGCTCTCTGACAAGCTGAAGTAGATGGGCTAGATCCTTGACAGCAAACTTTCTTGAAATCCCAACATAGAGAAATGGGCAAAGTAGACAAGCCCTGACGCCTATCGCGGAGGGTGGCTTATTGTCTCTATGATTCTCGATCGCATCAGGTTTCCTCGCTATCATTCTTGTTTGGATTCCAGGCCACAGTGATATCGCAGGCACCCTTGAGGAATTTTCAACGAGTAAGGAATTGGTGGAGATTTCATTGGCTACATGTGGTTTAATTGTAGACAGTTTAACTTTTATTCAGCTTATCGAACGCTGCTCCAAAAACTTGGAAGACAAAGTGGCTAGAGCCTTCTGGCCGGGGGTTAACTCTCGTTGGTCAAGGGAACTATGAAAACTGAACAATTCACGTCTCATATTACTGGCGGGAGTTATTTTCGGTAATTTTTCGGTATTCATGAGATAAGGTAAGCACAAGATCCTGTTTTGAGGACTGTAAGCTTTAAACATTTTGGGCACGTGTTTCTTCCACATACCTTTAGACGTCGCCGTTCAACCACTCCTTTGCCTCTCCCTAGGGTAATGGCAACATAAAGGACAGTTAATCTAACAGCCATCCTAACCTAACCTCCCTATGTATGTAAAAAATTTTGTTTTTCAGGACAGCCACAGAAATATTTTAGCTAGACAGCGTTGAAAATGTCCTCCTTTTTCATAAGTAATGTACATGTACATACATACTTCTTCGACCCCATAATATCTTATGGCACTATACATAGTTGGCAGTTCATTAAGAGTATTCTTATGCTCTACTACGTTTTTTGACGGCGTTGCAGAAATTTCTGCATGCAAAACCAGTCCTGTACGGCCTCCTTCATAGCTGTAAGTTCAGCTCAAGTACGCTGAAATTATCAAAAGCTCAGTTATGGAGATATTTTTTGTGAGTATAGAACACATCCTGCGGTTTGGTGTAATTTTGTCCCGTCTGTATATATTGCAGTAGAGTTCCAGTAGGTTTTCGGCGTCGAATCTAGTTACAAGCATCACCAGTCGTGAGTCGATACATAGGCCTTGTCAAAGCGCGACTAGAGAGTGCGGGGTCGGATGTATGTTTTCTTCGTTGTATAAGTATACATACATACATTCGTGCAAATGCATATGACCTAGTGCTACTCGAGTAATCAAGATTTTGATTAACTAAAAACTAAAATATTTGAGTAATTTGCTTTGTGAGCAAAATGAGTACCCAAATTTTTAAAGTAGTCCTTACATATAATTAAATAGAATTCCCTTGATAAATATGTTGAATATAACATTTCATTTCCCAAAAATTAAATGAAATACTTTTTTTTCTATACACTATACACATTATAAACAAGAAATTAAAAAAAATGGTTTTTAAAGACAATCCTTTATTAGTCGTTAAAAAAATGTGTCGAGTTATTTCTTGCCATTTAGGTAATATATGTTCATTAGGGTGGTCCAAAAACAGTAAAGTCGGAATTGTAATGCTCTCATCCCCTAGGATTGTTCTATATCGACAAAGGTATACCCATATTTTTTATTTTGAAATCAAAAAATATTTAGAGGTCGCTCAACGCGCTCAAAGTTTTCCATGTATTTTTATATGGGGAAATAACAACTTTTCGTTGAAAAAGGATAAAATTCTTCCAAATCTATATTTTTCGATCGGAAATCTCTGGTTCTCTTCAGGAGACTTTCAGTAACAATACCCAATTGTTTATTTAACCATTTTTTTATACTAAGGATTTATTGTTGGTCCCCCATTGCGTTTTTAGGGGTTTTTGGCGGACCTATAAATTACAGTTGCAAAGAAAATATGGTTAAATAAACAATTAGGTATTATTACTGGGAATCTCCTGCAGATAAGCAGATAGAAAAATATTGATTTTTAAGAATTCTATACCATTTCTACGAAAAGTTGTTTTTCCCCATATAAAATACATGGAAAACCCTAGGCGCTTTGAGCGACCTCTAAATATTTTTTGATTTCAAAATAAAAAAAAATTGGGGTATATTTTTTTCAGTATAGAACAATCTTAAGGGGTGAGAGCATAAAAGTTCCAACGTTACTTTTTCTACATGCATTTTTGCACAACCCTTATGTATATACATTCTAAAAATTAAACAGTCTTGCCATAAATATGGGGTTTGCAAATATATCGCCTACTGCGCCACCTATTGTACAAACATTTTGTGGAGTTATTCCTATTTATTTAGGTAATGTATATTTATTCCAAATATAAACCATATTGGTTCATAAATACGGGTTTTCTAAATGTCTNACATGCATTTTTGCACAACCCTTATGTATATACATTCTAAAAATTAAACAAGTCTTGCCATAAATATGGGGTTTGCAAATATATCGCCTACTGCGACTTCTAAGCCACCCAGAGGATTATTTATGAGCTGGGTTTTAAGTCTCAAGTCTCTAGATCATCGAGAAGATGGTTAACAATGTGTTGCAAGATTTTATTAGACACAGGGGAAACATAATAAAAGCTTATCAAAAGAAGTTAAACATTTTCCAAAACAAACTCTCTTAACGAGAAAAATAAATTTTTTGTTTGAGTTATCATATTTTAAGTAACTCGATTAATCATCGTTTTCAGTAATTGATTCACCGGACAACTCCCTCGAGTACATAATCGAATTTTACCACCGAATTTCAAATCGAGTCATCGAGTGGTTACGGAATATTCGAAATTCGAAAAAAATTTAATTTCAATTAATTTACAGCCTATTTGAGCTTAAAAGAAAGCATTTTGACTAAAACAATAAAAACTAGTTTACGAATATACTTGGCCTGTACAACAGTATACCAAAAACATTTAGACGAAGTTTTTCTAAAAAAAAAAAAATCATACTCCACATACTGCGTGAATAAAGGGACGACAACTTCGTATTTTTCAAAAGCACTATACAAGTATGAAGTGATAACGTTGGAAATCCATTTAAACATTTAAAATTTTGTTGTAGGGAAGGAAGGGACGCGGCTCATATTTAATACCGGGCCTGGATTTTCTCTTTACGGTCCTGGCCTTACCCGCCAAGCTTTGTAGATATGGAAGGAAAACTTAAACTCGACACCTCGTAAGTTGCCTGTATTATTTTACTTATGTATATAAAAATGCTGCTTGGAGTAAATAGAAGTCAGTGTGTGTTTTTTATATACACTAATCCAATGAAACTTTACGATTTCCCCAGGATCCATATTAATTTAGTTTTTGAAAGATTCAACTATTTCAATGGGATATTGATATCACGGAAATTATTTTTTAATACCAAATGGTTTTTATTTACAAATCAGGTTTACTCTTTAGAGTAAAAAGCAAATATAAAAGTGAACATTTTTTTAATTAAATCAAATGCAATGTAGGTATGCATATTTAAAGCTGAGTCAGTGGCTTTGGTCATCTTGAATATCTTCTAATAATCGTTTGAACTGGTGCGACTGGCAACCGGGTGGATTCCATGATAAGTGTTCTGCCTCTGAGCAGGGGTGCTTTTTCCGAATGGGCTTTTGGCATTTACCTGCAAAATATAGTCGCCTTCCAGATCGTAATCGGCAGCAATTCCCATGTAGGCGCGTCGACCATCACCATTGTTGTTTTTGTACTGTTGTAACGACTCAGCGGCGACAGCTGGGAAATTACGTTCATTGCCTGGACGCACTGACTCGGCGAAGTAACGAGTAGCGCGCAGAGAAGATTCAATGATATCATCAGTACCGGGCATGGTGACTGAAGGGCCATTGGGGTAGAAGTCAACATCGCCAGCACGTGAAACTGTACCCATGCCGTAAGCGGAGGTGTGGATAGCGTCGACGAAGTCAGCACTGCCGCGTGTCAAACCGACTAGTGTATTGGGTTTGCGTGCATAGATCTTTGAGGGATCCATTGCGGTGATGCGTCGCAGCTTGTTGCCTGTTTGACGGGTATACTGACGTGCAGCTGCACCGGCTACGTGGGCACCAATGCCTTGTGCAACGATGCTGATAACTTCCTGGGGCACATCAGCTTGCGACGTGAGTTGGACCAAGGTATTACCGATGTTAGCACCAACTCTGTTGATGTCTAGCAGAGCCAATTCTTCGAAGTTCCTGATGACAGCACCTAAGTCGATGACTACTAGATTGCCAGTGGGTCTGCGCTGTTGGCTGGTAGTTTCCTCGCTTGACGAAACAGCCTGCTCAAACTCATCGCCGTGGTTGATTTGTACCTGGATTTGTCCATTGTACATTTGCAAATAGGCTTGTATGAGCCTTTGGTTAGCACGCTCGGCGTCACGCAGTTTTTGTTGGGGCAGACCGGTGATGAAAATTGTGACCTCCTGTTCGCCGAAATGAGGTTGCTGCTTGGCAACGGACACCAACTTGTTCAATTTGAAGTTGACACGCTGACCGGTTGGCGTGAATGTGTAGGCAGGAATATCATCGGGGCTGGGTGCATAACTTGGCTCAACATTGCGGCTTAGCATTGACAAGTGATCTAAAAAGGAAAAGAATATTAAATGATTCCATTTAAAGGTTGTATTTCACACCAAAACTCACAAATCTTATTCAATAATTCTGCAGCGTCCATAGCAGGCATTTCCTTCAGTTTTTCGAAGGTAATATCATTTATAGCTGGCAAGTCCTCCAACTCCCGAGGAGAAAGCCACTCGCTGGGCTGCAGGCTATTGCGAATTGAATTGCTGTTGCGATGGGCCGTCGCCGTAGATAGCAGGACCACCACTAAACAGAAGATGCGTAAAGGATTCATGCTTGTATGTTTTTATGAGTCCGGATGTGTCGTATGCTAAGAGCAGTCGAATCGAACTGTAGCGATGACAAAAACGAAAGTGAAGCTTTTATACCTAAAACTCAGTGCACATTCATATGAGTGTATTGTTTTTTACGTGTGTTTGCATACGGTTTTAGAAAAAAGGGCAAAAATGCTGAAAAGCGTTTATTGAATTTATTGAACTCGCACGGAAAACTGCTGTCAAAGAAAAATCAAAATAAAAAAGTATCAGACATGTGTGAGACAATCAAATCGGCTGAAATGAGCAACTTATAGCAAGAACCAATACGAGCGGATGTTACACGGGTATCCATCCATAGCTGAGCTATATGTAGGTTTTGCTTATCTGCTCATTCCCAACAATTCAACGTATGAAGGGAATTGATAAGCGCATTACCAGACAACACACTAATAACCACTGATTTATTTTGCTGATTTTGATTGATTGTTGGCAATATTTTTTTTGTTTTCAATTCTTTTGAAATCGACACAAGCGAAGTAAATTTAGCCAATTCGAATTAAACTTTTATAAAGAAGTATTATACAATGAAGTTATTTGAAACCGCTTACCGCTAGCTGACATAAACAAAGCCAAAAACTATAACAACTTTGTTTACTTACAGTGTGCTTGCGAAAATATGCTTGTATCATATGACAGCAGTAATTGCGTAACACGATTTCGTGATATAAGCGTACGTATATTTATATGCAAACACATGTATGTAAGTACTATGTAAAATAGCGGAGTTCACCCAAATTTAGAAATTCGAAAGGGAATTAAATTTCCAAGTTTTATTTCCGCCAGTTGGCGGCCCATCTATGCAAATTGGATACGTTGCAGCAACGAAGAATTGTAAGAAAGTCCCATCTTACAGAAACTAGACAAAGTTGAGATGAAATTTTTTCCGGTGTGGTTCTGAAAATCAAAATTTTTTCTATTTTTAAATAAAAGTCTTCAGTGACCGTAAATTTCGAGTGATTTCTTCAAAGAAGTATGCTCCGACAACGCAACTTGATGTTACTGAACACCATCCTATGGGTAAAGTACTTCCATCTCGTGTAGAACTTTTGTGTTTACAAGTCACTCCCAATTCCACAATTTGCCTCATTTACATTACATTACGTCTAAATTTAGTTCATCTGGCTTGCTGCTAAGATCCATTCGAGTAGATGAATCCGTTGTCGAAACGCCTGGAATCATCCGTGGGATGACAATTGTTTTCTGCGCCCAAAGAGTGCGGGTTTGGTGATAAAGCCAACAAGGAAGTGTTTCATGTACGGAAAAGTAACTTCCAACCACGTTTCGATAATTTTTTTGACAAAATCCCAATTTAACGAAATATACGGTGTTTCAACTTTTTTATGATATTTTAAATACATATATTATTTCTTAAACTCCCATTTATCCTGCCTGGGTGGTCCGAGAATACAAAGGGAAATTAACTTTTGGGGAAAACCCCGCGGCGTTGGAATATTTCATGTAGTAGAATTGATATAAAATATTTAAAAATAAATATTTTGTTATCGAATAAAAATATCTTAAATAAACAAAATTTTTAAAAATGTAATTTGTAACAAACTAAATGAATCGAGATAGATATAGACTAAAGGCCTGCAAATGTTGAACTATAAAACATAGCGTCATTTGTCACATTATGCAAGTGCCAATTCATACTATGTCGCTCATACATGTTTGACAATGACATCTGAAGACACTGACGAATAAATTGAAATCAAATCATAAATTTTTTTTCAAATTGTGCAAGCTCCTATTATGAGAAATTTATTAAACAATTGTCTAACCAAACTCCACGTCAAGCAGTGCAGACGTGTAAATTAATTTGCCCTGAGGACGGTTACCGAAGCGTAACCGAAATATATCGGAAAAAATTAAAATCCTGTGTTTTAATTCAAAAAATTTCCTAAAACAATTTGACCTCGAGCCGGCAGAATTAGCAATTATTAATAATTAATTAATTTAAAACAATGCAACCTTCACTAACAAGTAACCAAAACCACTACATCAATTTGGCTTCCGTGAAAAAATGGCTCTGTAGAACAGGTTAATACAATTGTTTCTTGTATTAGAAAAGCCTTCGAAGGGAAGCAATACTGCACCGGTGTGTTTTTGGACATCTCTCTCGCACGATACCAAGCGATCCTGCTGCTCGGAATTACTACAGCCGCACAGTGTTTCGACTATATGGAGACAGGTGGAATTAATAGTAAACCTGCACCGATTTCACTGAAACTTGACACGTGCTCTAGTTTTACTTAGAAATAGGGAATTATGAAATTTTGGTAAAGATGGAATAATTGTCCCGCCTTCTACTCTTGTGGGCGGAAACATTAAATTTCATTCGATTTCGATGAAAAGAAATACCTAAAGATAAAATATGGGGAAGATTGGATCACTATAACGTTCAAAACTCACAAAAAATGTGGGCCCAGTCATCAATGTGATAGAATTTTGGGTTAATTTTTGTTTCCTGTTTTCCACTCTCAGAAAACAAAGGTTATACTATAAAATGACTTAGGTGTAAATACTCGCTTTTCTCCAATGCTTGGAGAGATTTTTTCATTGATCGAAAACTTCTTTTGGCGAAATTATGCAAAAAGAAGCTGAAAATCAAAAATTAAGGAAATCAAAAATTACATATATTTGCAAAGTCGCGCGAAAATATCAAATTATATATTCGAGAACTACATAAAATTCTCTAAAACATTCGTCTAGTTTCAAGACCTTACGGACCGGTACTCACACTTTGTTTTACTAATAATCTTTAGCATCTACATTTAGTCCGGTCAAATTAGACCAGAAATAGGAGTGACGTTACAAAAATTCCCACCCAGCTGAAAATTGGTAGGATTGTTCAAAACACCATCATAAATGAAATCTAGAAAGTCCTCATCGATCCGATACCTGGAAAAAAAGTTACTCGGGGTCAAAGGGTAAGTTAGCGGTAAGCGGTAGTTTATCATAAAATTAGTTTAGACAAAAATTCTATATCAGATAGTTATATATAAAACATGTCTAAATACTTTTTGTCCTAAGAGCCACCGTTTCCGACATATGACGATTCAAAAAGTTGGAAGAGTTGTAATCGTCATAATATGCACACGTTTCCACGCCACCTTTGTTGTACTTATACATATTATGCCGATTACAACTCTTCCAACTTTTTGAATCGTTATATCTCGGAAACTGTGGCTCTTAGGAAAAAAAGTATATAGACATTTTTTATAGCTAATTATCTTATCTACAATTTTTGTCTAAACTAATTTTATGATAAACTTATCGCTTTGCTGAAAATCGGGAAAACCCCGTTTTTGTGAACTTTGACCCCGAGTAACTTTTTTCCAGGTACCGGATCGATGAGAACTTTTTAGATTTAATTTATGATGGTGTTTTAAACAATCCTACCAATTGGAAATGAGCGAAATCGAAAGGTAAGCACGGCCACCTTTCTTATAACTGTATTTTCGAAAAATGCTAAAACTGAGATATGTTCGTAAATACTGGATCCAAATTGTTGAAATTTGGAATGTGAAGTAGAATTTTGAAATAAAATAACAAAATTTTTGAAATCAGGCCCACCTCCCATATAAAGGTAGTTTATAGAAACAAAAACTGCAATATATCAGTAAATACCGAATCTACTTCACTCAATAACGAAGTTTTTTATAACCTCTTAGCAGTAAATGAGATTATCAATTTTTTTTTTGGAAAATGTGCCTTACACCTACTTACTTATGACTATATAAATGCATCTCTATAATCAATTTATCACCATCTACTAAACTCGGTATAGTTATTTGAAGTCTGATATTTCTGTAATTTACGCAAAGTTAATACCTACAGCAATATTTTAACAAGAGATAATATTATTATAGATTTTTACAAAATGGGCGTAGCATCGTGCACTTATCACTTATCGGTATTATCGAAAATGTTTGAAATCGCGAAAAGACCCTTGCCTTGCCTAGAAAGGTGAAAACCGATATTTAATACGTGCGCCGGGTTTACAAAGTTTTGTTTCGCTCGAACTTATACTTTACTTGTTTCAAATTATTTTCTCAATGAGATTATTTCCAAGATATGCTAAACTTGTGAACCCGCATGGCGTTAAAACGCTCAAAATTTAATTTCAAAAACTTAAAAATTATTCCGAGTGTTAGTCAGAGTTATAGGAGATCCGAGTGTCATATTTTATCTAAAACCGTGCAGCCGTTTCTGTTTCGTTTCGAATCACCCTATACCGGTGAAAACAGTTCCTAATTAAAAAAATAAAAATAAAAATTTATCACTCATCTACAGGCTAAGGTCTTTAATTTGACCTCTCATTTTGGAAATGCCTTTTCAAAAGTATTCTCAAACTAAAATCTCTATCGTTTGACATTTTGGTACACATGTATTTCAATAAACTGATCAACTAATTTGAATTTGATTGTTCGAACACAGGGCAACCCTCCTAAATAAAGGCTTGAAATAAAGCTTTTTCAAACCCATCTCGATCGAAACCCATCTTTTAATAATTCATCCAACTTATTGAATAATTTGAATGTTACTTTTTAAACACGTGGCAACCCACTTTGAACATTCCAAAAGTTCAAACTAAATATTTAACATTCTTTTTTTTGACAATGGTACTTTTACCAACATTTAATTAAATTTTTTAAACAGGTGAAATCCTATTCAAAAACCTCTAAAAATATCCCTAATGGTTAATCTAAACCATCTCTCAGTGATGAGAGGTCTCGCATGGTATCGGTTTTCATTTCATCAAAATTAAAATCTCCCTGTAACTTCAAAAAATAAAACCTGTGCACATCTATGTAGAATCCCAGTTATTTAATTTGACTTCTCATTTTGGAAATTCGAAATAACGGTGCAGATATGATGACCTTCAAAAAAATAGATTGCAACTCTAATTAAAAATATTATCAGCCTATAGTTTTCTTAAAACTCTTTGGTTTGACACTAATATTTCGATATTTCATTTATGTATCTTTCGTATGAGTAAAACAAAAACCGACTTTCAAATAGGTGGCAACCCCTTTAAAAGTATTTTCAAACTAAAATCTGTCACCT